AGGGTTTGGGAGGACAAATAAAAAGAGGATGAAGAGGGGGGGGGGGTTTCCCTCAGGAGGGAGGGCAGGGAGAAGGGGGTCTCTTCCCAACACGCAGGGAAGATTGGGAGCGCAGCTCCCCAGAAGTGAGGAGGTGCTTGGTTTCTGAGAAAAAATAGCATTTTTCTACTTGTTTTGGTCTCCTCCTCATACGTCCTGCCTTAAAAACTACCTTTTTTCCTGCTTATTTACTCTCCCCCCCCGAAATGTCCAGAACTACCCGAGTGTGGGGCTGGGTTTGGAAGAGAGAGGTGTCAAAAAGAGAGAGAGAAAACCCAGAGAAAGGGGAAAATAGTTCTGCTCAGAACTAGATAAATAGGAAGGGATTGATCACTCGCTGATTAATTGATCCTTTGCTTGATTTACAGTGAAAACCTTCCCTGTGATCCCTAATCTGGTGCATCCCCCCCCACCCCCTGACCGGATGGTGTTTTAACCCAAAATACTTTGGAATTAATATCTGGAAAATCCTCCTGAGGTGACTTTTGATGCTGGTACCTTTTAAAACATCCTACAATCACAGAGTATTTCCAGTATTTCCACTATTTCCAGGGCTTTTGTGAGCAAGTTGAGGTCCCTTCCAACCCAAACCATTCTGTGATTCAGCCTGGAGAAGAGAAGGCTCCGGGGAGACCTTGGAGCCCCTTCCAGTCCCTCAAGGGGCTCCAGGAAAGCTGGGGGGAGCGATTCTGAATCAGGGAGGGGAGTGATGGGACAAGGAGGAAGGGTTTTTCTTCCTTGTGGTGGCTCCGAAGGATCCGTGTTGGGATGTGATTTTTCCCCTTGGATCACAGAAAATTTCGTGTTGGGATATGATTTTTCCCTCTGGATCACAGAAGGATCCGTGTCAAGAACTTTATTTTGAGGGTGGTGAGAGCCTGGCCCAGGTTGCCCCGAGAAGCTGTGGCTGCCCCATCCCTGGAGGGGTTGAAGGGCAGGTTGGAGGGGGCTTGGAGCAACCTGGGCTGGTGGGAGGTGGCCCTGGATGGAACCGGGTGGTCTTTGAGGTCTCTTCCCACCCAAACCATTCCATGATTTTATGATCCTTCCTGCAGAATGGGGAAGAACCGCAGTGATGGCCCGTGTCCAGTGGGAGCTGGTGGGGGGGGAGAAGCAGCGACACCCACCCTGGACATGGATTTTGGGCTGCAGATGAAGCTGGAGCAGGGGGGTGATGGAGGTGTGATGGAGGGGGATAGAGAAGAGACACGTTCCCTCTACTTGACTCTCTGAAGCCCCCGGTGCTGTTTGTGGGGTCTCCTGCTGCCCCATGGAATGTGCCAATTTATTTCATAACATTTTCCCTCCCGCCCGTCCCTGTTATTCTTCACCTTCTGGTTTTTGGTGGCCAGGTCCTACGGAGCACCCCAGAGGTGGCTACGGGCCAACACCAGATGGCTCGATGCTGGTGGCCACGGGAGAGCTTGGTCGTGCCCTTTGAATCAAGAGCTCATGCTGGTCAGAACCCAGCTCTTCCCAACTGGCCTCCCCCTCGCAGGGCTGGAGCTGGGAGACGGCCCATTTTCACCAGTTTAACCCCAGTTGGTGCCACTCTGGAGCGCGAATTCTCTCGGGATTGCGTTTGGGGTTTTATGGAGGGATTTGGGGGCCTAAAGTCTTCCTGTGAAGCACCTTGGGGGAGTTTTAGGGCTGGAGAAGGTGCTTCACTCCCACTGAAATCCCACTGGAGGGTCCATATCCCTCCTCACGGATCCCCCGAGCCGCTGGTGGGAGATTCCCCGTTGTCCCAAGGGACTTCTTTAAAGCTTGGTGGCACTTCCAAGTCTCTTGTTCTGGGTGGGAGGTTGGAAGGGACCGTCCCCTTCTCACACAAACCACAGAGCTGAGGAAAGATGATGGTGGAGCAGCACAGGGGGGGTCTCCAGCCACTTGGGAGCCCCCCCAGGGGTTGGTTTGGGTTCCTGTGGGCGCTGGTGGCCCTTCATGCCACCCACCCATCATGAGAAGGAAGAACCCTGGCCATTGTGGCTCGTGCCACCCAAGTCCCCGAGCACCCACAGCAGGTCTTCACCCCAAAATATCCATCCCAGGAGGAGAAATTCGGCTCCGGTGGGAATCCCAGGGCAATTTGGCCAACTTCCAGGGGTGTCACTGGCCAAAAAAGCCAGACCAGGGGGCTCCCAATTTTCCTGGAAGGGTGGTGAGATTCTGGTGGAAGGGGACTCTGGTGGGGCAGGAAGATCTGAGAGTGACTCCTGGGAGGCTCTTCCCCCTTCCCAACACCTTAAAATTTAATGTATGGAGCAGGGAGAGGGTGGGAAGGACAAGAGGGGGACGTGCTCCTCTCCAGAGAAGCTCCCAACAGGGATGTGACTTTGAGAAGGTCCATGTCCTGATGAAGCACCTTCATTCCTACAGAGGCAGAAATTGGAGGAGGAGCTGGAATTTATCCCCAGCCCATGGTCTGGAGGAGGAGACCTTAGACCTTCACGGAGTCCAAGCCTTCAGGGGATTAAGCCAGAGGAACCAGAGGCTCAGCCTCCCTTAATTAGGAGAAGAGAGAAGGGAAAAAATGTTTGCAGAACATCCCCTGGATCTCAAGTGTGAAAGTGCTGCTTCGGAGATGAATTGGGTTTAATTAGGATGTTTTTCCTTGTTTTTGGAGATAATTACAGCCTTATTGTCTGGGAAAAGGTGTGGGGGGGGCTGCTTGGTGGGGGAATGGACCCCTCTGGAAGGGACCAGACCAAGGGGCTCCCAATTTTCCTGGAAGGGTGGTGAGAGGGTCCCACCAGGGGACTGTGGTGGGGCAGGAAGATCTGAGAGTGACTCCTGGGAGGCTCTTCCCCCTTCCCAACACCTTAAAATTTAATGTATGGAGCAGGGGGAGGGTGGAAAGGTCAGGAGGGGGACGTGTTCCTCTCCAGAGAAGCTCCCAACAGGGATGTGACTCTGAGGAGGTCCATGTCCTGATGAAAACACCTTCATTCCTACAGAGGCAGAAGGGAAATTGGAGGAGGAGCTGGAGGTCTGCAGGAGGAGACCCCTTTTTTTTTCCTCCCAGGAGAAACCAACTCCTGGTTCTGAGCGGGAAAGATGGAACCAGTGAAATTCAGTGAAATTCAGTGAAACCAGGAATATTTAGATGATAAAGTTATAAAACTTTGGCGATGGCTCATTTAGTACTTCCTTGTGGTGGCTCCGAAGGATCCGTGTCGGGATGTGATTTTTCCCCCTGGATCACAGAAGGATCCGTGTCAGGATCTGATTTTTCCCCCTGGATCACAGAAAATTTTGTGTTGGGATGTGATTTTTCCCCCTGGATCACAGAAGGATCCGTGTCAGGATCTGATTTTTCCCCCTGGATCACAGAAAATTTTGTGTTGGGATATGATTTTTCCCCCTGGGATCTTCACCGAGGGGCTTCGATCCCAATGCTCGGGGCTGTAGGAGGTGCAGGACCCCAGGACTTCTCTGTGCTCCACCAATTCACCCAAAATCTCCCCTTTTTTGCTCCAGAAAGCTGTAATCTGAAAAATGGGTTCCACACACAAAGTCTCCCGGTGCCACTCTGCCATAAAGGGGGGGTCAGATGTGGGCACAAGGTGGTAGGGTCCCCACAGGGGTGTGGGTGGTGGTGGTGGGTCCAGGGATGCTCCTCCAGGAACCTACTGGAGGAGGAGAGAGAGAGGAGACCAAAAGAGACCATCTTTTTTTGGGGGGGGGAATTCGAGCCCAGGGCTGAGCTCCAGGCTGAGTTTTCCCTGAGGGATCGAGAAACAATGGCATTTTTAATATCATGAATTTTGCTACATGGAGCACAAAAATATCATTGTTTTTAGAAGAGGAGGGGGGGGGTTTAGAGGGAGGGAAAGGACCTTGAAAACGGGGCAAAAAGAGAAGAAAACTTCTCTCTAAAGCAGCATTTGTGGCCTCAAACATCCCGTCGGCCCCGCTCAGCCCCCACGTTGCAGTTTTGCTCCCCCTTTTCTGCTGTGTTGGTTCCTAATAAAGAGTTACCAAAATATCTTCTTGCTGCAAAAGCAGAACAACAAACACTGGCAGTTTATTTACGTATTTAACACACACACACACACACACAAACACACACACCCCCCCCTCGTCCCGTCCTCCCCCCAAGGTGTAATTTTGCCTCACCAAGGGGCTCCCAATTTTCCTTGAAGGGTGGTGAGATTCTGGTGGAAGGGGACTCTGGTGGGGCAGGAAGATCTGAGAGTGACTCCTGGGAGGCTCTTCCCCCTTCCCAACACCTTAAAATTTAATGTATGGAGCAGGGAGAGGGTGGGAAGGACAAGAGGGGGACGTGCTCCTCTCCAGAGAAGCTCCCAACAGGGATGTGACTCTGAGGAGGTCCATGTCCTGATGAAAACACCTTCATTCCTACAGAGGCAGAAGGGAAATTGGAGGAGGAGCTGGAGGTCTGCAGGAGGAGACCCTAGACCTTCACGGAGTCCAAGCCTTCAGGGGATTAAGCCAGAGGAACCAGAGGCTCAGCCTCCCTTAATTAGGAGAAGAGAGAAGGGAAAAATGTTTGCAGAACATCCCCTGGATCTCACTCTCCACCTGCGCTGCTTCGTGCGGTTCCTCTACCTCAAATAAAAGGAAAATAGAAACAAAAATAATCCCCCTGAAGGGGTTGAGAGCCCACATTTCTCTGCTGGATTCACCCTGGGTTAGAGCTCTGCTCCTCCCCTCCTGCCCCAGAGCTGGGGGAGCCCCCAGGAAGGGGCCCGTCGTCCTCCTCCCCCCCCCCCC